TACCTCTGGCGTCTCCTTCTCCGTCGTGGAAAATGACCTGGTAGTCCGGCAGTGATACACCGGCATACTACCCGTACTTCAAAGAAGAACCAAAGCAGGAGTTTCGGACTCTGCAGTGACCTGTGGCTTCTCCTTATTTCTCTTCTACAAGTGAGGGGAGAAATTTGGTTGATGGCTCGTTTTGTTTAATTTGCTTGGTCAGAGTTGCCCGTCTCATGATATATGTATGCGCAAGGATAATTCTGGATGGTGCAATAATTCATTTGAATTAATTGTTATGGTACGGTGATGGCCATAGTCTACGCTACAAGCCTACAAGAAAGCCCGTAAAAGCTCAAGTAGCTGTAGTTTCTCCTATAGTTATGAATTTAGGATACATACTATTGTCTGAGTTCATATTTTAATAATTTTCTGTTGGAAATTCGAGGTTCAATTTCCTAAAGTTCGTTTTATGAAGCCTGGAAAAGTATAGAATCATTAATAATATCTTTTTCTATCTTTTCTGCACATCTTTAACTGTTCACTACTTTGCAGGAAGCAGGGAAGTTTTTGGTAGGAACTACACGGAGTGTGATGGCACATGACGAAGTATGTTCCAAGTAATGTTTAGAAATTCTGCAACTGAACCAGTGATGGCACTGGTAAGTTATCTCCATCAAGAAAGTATTTATTGTGTTTTATTGTTTCTGTTTTGGATCTTTCATGTTTTCCCCACTACATGCAGATTCAGCAGTACAAACATGGCAATTCAATATTTATTCACAAATGGATCCTGTGATGATAATATGGTACACTTAGAAAACTTAATGGATGGGCTCCTAACTCTGGAGGACTTTTCAGAGGATGAGGTGATGCCTCTAACGGCTCTAAGTTACAAGTATGAGGTACGCTTAAAAATATATGTGGAAAGAAACAATATATTTGTTGATAAATAATACGTAGTATGTCTTTTATCGAAAGAAAATATCTTCCCGTATCATTTTTATCTTTGCCCTTGGCATTGTTTGGGATCCGAGCATATCCTTTAAATTTGTCTATGACTCTATGTCTCTATGTGGATTCATCTTCCTATCAAATGTACAGGTCACGCGCAGGCATAGTTGTCATGAAGCATGGCGACATCCATGGCGCACAAGCCATTTTTCATGGCGATGGCGCAAATATGGCGTCGCCACGTGACAAAAAAACTTCAAAAGAAATGATAGACACTATAATTCATCAACCCAACCACCAAAACATGAAAAAAAGTTGAATAACAACATTCTAATCAAAACATGTGAAGTTAAAATTGTTTAAAGTACTTCCAAAAAACATAATATTCAAAAAAGTTTCATGTCTTGCAAAATATGTTAGGATTTAGGCTTGTTAGCTTGTTTTTGTTTGATGGTTATGGCATAATCATCATCAATCATCGCACTCCTCATCATCGAACAACATCCCCAGTATTTTCATCGTAGGTCGTTGTTGTTTTTTTCGTTCCGTTTCTCACAAAACTCCTTAGCGAAGGCAGTAGACGTCTTCTGCAAGTTAAAAGAGTAAAAACTGAATCAGCTTTTAAATTTCTGATACTTTGAGTGTTTAAAATATAAATTTCAAGTTTAAACTGAACATCAGAAGGCTTTAAATTTGAGAAGGCTAAATGCAGGTGTGCTAAATACAGGCTAAACTGAAATGCAGGCTAATTTCAGAATCCTAAACTGAATTTGATAAATGTTAGTAAACTGAATTTCAGTTCTTAAGTTAAGTTCTAAACTGAATTTGATAAATGTTAGTATGTTACTAAACTGGAATTCAGTTTAGACATGCATTAAGAACTAAATTCAGTTTAGGCTTTAGACATGCATTAAGAACTGAATTTAGATAGACATGCTAATTCAATGATATTTCAGTTTACTTGCCTTCATTTTATTACTTGCCTTCAGTTTACAGAAAAGAAGAGAAATCTATTAGCTATTAAGAACTGATTTTTTATTATACTGTTTTGCATAAAGTTATAAAAGTTATAAACTATAACTCTATAAACTATAAAGTATAAATTGAAGTTATAAACTCAAAATGAAGTATTAATGAACTGAAGTGGTTTTTAAGTTTTAACAGTTGCTTTCGTATAATGTTTTGTATAAGTTATAAACTATAATTGTATAAATTATAAACTGTAAGTGTATGAAGTATAAACTGAAGTTATAAACTCAAAATGAACTGAAGTGGTTTTTAACAGTTGCTTTCATATTATGTTTTGTATAAAGTTATAAACTATAATTGTATAAAGTATAAACTATAACTATATAAAGTTATAAACTATAATTGTATGAAGTATAAACTGAAGTTATAAACTCAAACTTGAAGTATTAAATGAACTGAAGTTTTTTTAACTATTGCTTTAGCATACGGTTTCGTATAGTTCTAAACTATAACTGTATAAAGTATAAACTGAATTACTGACGTTTTCTGCATTAATAGAGAGCATTATAGAGGGTAGTCATACCTTACTAATGTCCAAAATTCACCTGAATTACTCAACATTCTAGATTCATCCGACAAAATTCACTTAGGGGATCGATGAGCGTCTCACTTCTCTTGAGACCAGTTGGAGATCATTCTTTGAAGCCCCCCCGCCACCCCCTCCTCCTAGCCACCTCCTCCTGAACAGTAGATAGTTGATTACTTGTCCTCCGTTAGCTGCTATACTTTGATTGTTCTGTTGGATGAATGTATATTACACTATCACACTATCACTCCCTACTCTACTTTGTTGTTGTTTGATTGTTTTGCAGCACAAAGTTTGCTTTTTGATGATACGCTGCGGTTTACAAATTGACCCAGTTTCGTTCTGCACCGACCAACACCTTAGGGAAGTTTCCATGACTCTATCACTCGCTTGTTTGTAATGTTGACTTGAGTTGAGATGAGTACGCGTGACCCTTTTCAAGGGCTTACCCTTACCCCTTTGTGCATAGTGTATATTTGGTTATCAAGGGCTATGCCAAATTTTAAGTGTGTGGGAGTGAATTGGGCATTCGGGCAGTAGTTGTTACATGAGATTAATTCTGTTAGCATGCGCAGATGTTATTTGTATATTCATAGGAAAGTCATGTCAAATTTTTGTAAATTTTTTCTTTAAACTGTGTCTTTGTGAGCTGGCTAGAGTTTTGACTATGCTTTTAGAACATCTTTGAAGTGTTTAGGCTTAAATTGCTTGCACTATAATCTACTTGTTGAGAGGATGAAGGCACTAGTCACCCATTGAATTCATAAATCTTCCATCTTACCTGAATAAGTCCTTTAGGAGAAGCCACTTTGAGCCTGACCATTTATTCTTTACCCAATTAATTGAGCTCCATAGCCAAATGGCCTGTGTTTCCTTACCCGTGAACATTTCTGACAAAGTCTTGGTGTTTAAGGAACTAGGGGATTAATTTGCTAAGTTTAGGGAGTTTTTGTAGGAGTCATTTTTGGCACTGTTCCTATGCCCCAAATGGGGTAAGAGTAGTCACTGTTTAGGAATTTGATATTTTCGAGGATTGCATTGTAGGCTTGGATTCACCTGTTTAAATGAACTTTAATTGCTAATTTTCCTTGGTGAGGCCGAGATTAGAATGGGGTAATGTCTAGTAAAAATCTGAAAATTGAAAAAATTAATTATAGCTAGACCTCTTACCTTGCGAAAAAGAGAATGGGAGCCCCGGTCAAAAAGCGTAAGTGTTAGCACAATAAGATGAGACTTGGGTATCTTTCGAAAGAAATGGCGTTCTCGTGCCAACATGACAAGGAAAACTGAACTTTATTAAATGAACTTGAAGGCTTTTTGCAAAATTAGCATTAGTCCTTCGCGTACTTCAAGTATACGTCAAAGCACCAATGTGCCGCGGCGGTTTAGCTTAGTTGTACACCATGTCTACTCTTTGCATAGGTCTAAATGATAGTTCCTAATTGGTGGCCTACTGAGCTCCTTGATCCCAAGAATAGCCCCGAAATTCCTGAATGCATTAAGTCTTTGTTAGGATGTTCCGCACTCTCAAGAAAAGGGACTGTTTATTTCTAACCATTTACCATTCACCATTCACCACCGCCTTCACAAGTCCTTCTGATCGGTAGCTAGTTTATTAGTGTATGCTGTCACTACTTTGAGGATGTTCTGAATAATTTTGTCAAATATTTTAGCTAGAGTACAAAGATGTAGTTTAAGGAGGAATTTTCTTGGTTTAGTCTGTCTGTTCTGTGAATATCCCTTTAACTACCTGTGCATGCTAATTGTTTTGATTTCGTGTGGTGATTATCGTAAGTCCCGTTGTTCAGTTTGCTTGAGGACAGGCAAAAGCTTAACTTTGAGACAGTTTTAAACTTGTTTACATACAGAATTTGTTATCTTCACTGTTTGGTTTAATTCCGCAGTTAAATTTTGATTATTTTCGGTTATAATTAGTTCGGGATGTGTTTAGCTTTATATTCAGGTCACTCGCAGGTGCCCATCAACTGCCCAATGAGGTTTCATATTTATCTAGTAAGTGGAAGTCAAAAGAGTTCTTTGTAAGAGCATAATGATGCCAGTGATAGCCTGAATCTCCAGTTGGTGCCTTTCAATGGGACATAGTCCTACTAGATATTCAAGCTTCAAGATCCTAAAGTAGGTTTCTAAAGCTTAGGAAAGTATAATGAAGTCAATAATATTATTGTCTTTTTTGCACTTCTTTAACAGTTCGCCACATTTCAGGCTGTAGGGAAGGTTTTGGCAAGGCTTATGGAGAGTGACGGTATGGGACAAAATTAGTGCCAAGCAAATTTTAGAAATTATGCAACTAAATCGTTTGATATGTTATTTCTGGGAAGCAGTATTTTATAATTTCTTATTGTTTCATACTTGTTGATGATTTGTCCATAACTCATCATGTTTTAGCTGCATGTGTTATATGTGATATGCATTCCCATTTTTACATTACTTTGAGCATTTCTATCAACAGTTTGTATGCTGTAGGATTACACATGCTTCTTTAGATTACACTCTGAATTTGAATTTACAGCTGCCTTCCAGACACGAGCTCAAGTGAATTGAGCGAAACTGTGATACTGCAATTGGAACTTAGAGCAATAGTACTGGTTGCTAAAGTTGATGTGGGTGTTGAAACGGTTTCCAATGGCCATAAACTGCCCCGAGAGAGTTCATATTTATCTAGTAAGTGGAAGAGAAAGAATTGTTTGTAAGGGCATGATGATGGCAGTGATAATCTGCAGTTGGTTCCTTTCAACTGGACAAAGTCCTACTAGAAATTGAAGCTTCGAGATCCTGAAGTAAGTTTATAGAGCTTGAAAAAGTATAATGAGGTCAATAGTATCCTTGTCTTCTTTGCACTTCTCTAACCGTCCTCTACTTTTCAGACTGTAGGGAAGGTTTTGGCAGATGAATATGGAGAGTGATGATGGCACTGGTAAAAATATGTGCGAATCAAATTTTAGAAATTTTGCAACAAAATTGCTCGGTATGTTATTTACCTGAACCATTGATTTTATAGTTTCCTATTGTTTTATATTTGTTAATAATTTGTATTTCATGTAATTTTTTAAAGTTAAGCTTAGTGTCCTATTTTTTTCTGAAGTTTTACTTTTGAAAAAAGTAATGAAGGAAGAATAATTTAAGATTAATTTCTAAACCTTCACTTATTGAATAGCCGTTGTCAATTTTCTGCAAAGGGCATGAAACCTTAATATCAAAGGTAGTTGATTGAGTTTGTAAAAGAAGCCCGAGAACCTCATTCTGAACAATCGAAACAACTATTTACTAGTGTCCAAAATTCACTCGTATTTACTCAACATTCTAGATTCATCTAGATTATTAAATTTATCGGACAAAAAACCCTCACGTTATATGGTAGGAACATCTGGTGAGTTTGGTTTTCACTTTTCAAACGAGATGATCTATTTAGCAATTCAAATTTATGTTCCATATATGAGTGACTACGGATGGAGTAGGATCGGGAGAGTCTAAAATCAGTTTATATACAAAAGTTGGTTAAGTTGATTGTTTGGTTTAATTTAACCACGTAAGGTGGCCGTGCGCTTAAAAATATTTCGTATTGTGCTTTGGTTTACACACAGGTCACACAAATGCATATGATAAAGGTTCGAGGAGTGTGAAGTTGGAATTAGGAGTGGGCGCTTATCTATTATCTATTATCTATTATATATTATCTCTTATCTCTAATCTATTATCTCTTATCTATTATCTATTATCTATTATCTATTATCTATTATCTATTATCTATTATCTATTATCTATTATCTATTATCTATTATCTATTATCTATTATCTATTATCTATTTATCTATTTATCTATTTATCTATTTATCTATTTATCTACTTATCTACTTATCTACTTATCTACTTATCTACTTAACTATATATTTATATATCTATTATCTATTATCCATTTATCTATTTATATTTATATATTTATCAATATATCTATATATCTATATATCAATATATCTATATATCTATAAATCTATTTATATGATGATAATGATCTATATATCTATTTATCTATATATCTATTATCTATTATCTGTGATCTATTATCTATTTAACTATTTACCTATTTATCTACTATCTACTATCTACTATCTATTATCTACTATCTACTATCTACTATCTATCATCTATTATCTATTTAACTATTTATCTATTTCTATTTATCTATTTCTATTTATCTATTTAACTATTTAACTATTTGTCTATTTATCTATTTATCTGTTTATCTATTTATGTGTTATCTTCTATCTTCTATCTTCTATCTTCTATCTTCTATCTTCTATCTTCTATCTTCTATCTTCTATCTTTCTATCTTCTATCTTCTATCTTCTATTATCTATTATTTTCAATTTTTTTTATCTATATTCTATAATCTATTATCCATTATCCATTATTATCTATTATCTACTATCTATTATCTATTATCTATTATCTATTATCTATTTAACTATTGAACTATTTATCTATTTCTATTTATCTATTTAACTATTTAACTATTTATCTATATATCTATTTATGCATTATCTATTAATCTATTATTCTATTAATCTATTATCTATTATCCATTTATCTATTTACCTATTTATCTATTTATCTATTTATCTAATTATATATTTATCTATGTATCTATATATCTATATCTCTATATATCTATTTATCTATTTATCTATTTATCTGTTTATCTATTTATGTGTTATCTATTAATCTATTATCTATTTATCTATTTATCTTTTTAATTATTTATCTATTTATCTATTTATAAATTCATCTATTTATCTATATATCTATATATCTTTATATCTATATATCTATATATTTATTTATCTATTTATCTATTATCTATTATTTATTATTTGGGCCCAACCAGCTTCCCTAGGAGCCACCACCCCCAGCCTCACCTTCAGAACTGGGTTTATCGGATTAAGGTGTGTGTTAGGCTTTAATTTTTTTCGTAATCATTAAACACAAATTGGTTTTATCTACAAATGCTTGATAAGCTTATTATGGGTTTATTTTTCGCAGCGTAAGTTTGATTTTTTGGGAGTGCGTTTAATATTTTTTTGGGATATGCTTTGGTTTATATAGGTCACAGATTTGTATTATGAGCACAGGGTTAAGAGTTGTGTTATTTATCTAAGGTGAGTGTTGTGCTTTATATTTTTATTTGTATCATAATTGATCAGACTTATTGCTAGCATTAGTTATGTACTTTTCTCAATACAAAATTAGGTGTGTGATTCTCTGTCAGAGGTGGTTTCATTTTAAGGTTATAACTCTAATGACGCAGGATTAATTATAAATAATTGCTTTGACTTTTTTGAAACGGGATCGAACATTGAAGTACTATTTGGTGATAGGCCTATTTGAGTAAGTAAAAAGAGCCTGAATAACTTGTTCCCAATCCTACATAAACTGGGTGTGATTAAGAACTGTGTAGTGTCAAAATAGTTAGAAACCAATTTTCTATACAAATGTTAACCAAGTCTATTGTATGTTTTATTTTCACAGTGTAAGTTTTATTATTTTAGTTTGTTTGAAATTAATTCCGATTGTGTTATGGTTTACATAGGTCACCAAATTGGGTGTCCTTTTTTCAGTTTTCAATGTTCGATCAAGATAATCAATTATGTTTTCGATTGTTAAACGGGGTAATCAATAAGGTTTAAGCGCCCAATATAAATAAGGACGGGCTAATGTCGGGTGATCTTGAATCCATTTTATCTAAAAATGTTTGTTATTGGTTTATTTTTCGCAGTGCAAGTTTGATTATTTGGATTATTTGGGAGTGTGTTTAATATTATTTTGTTTTATGCTTTGGTTTCGCAGGTTACGTATGCTTATAATGAGCACAGGGCAGATGGATTTCTGTGTTGTCTTATTGGTCTAAGGTGAGGGTTGTACTTTACGTTTTTATTTGTATCATAAATGATCAAATTGATTGTTAGCATTAGTTATGTATTAGAGGTGGTTTGATGATAATGTTATAACTATAATGAGGGAGGGTCAACTAAAACGGGATCGACCATTAAATTGATATTTGGTTATACGTTTATTTGAGTTAGTAAAATTATCCTGAAAAGGTCGTCCCCAAGTCAACATTTTATTTATACAATAATCACAAATTTATGTGGGTTATGTATTTCGTGTAGCATGAAATTCGGTGGCCTTTGATTTTTGAACTTGGTAAACAATTAAGTTTAAGCGCCCAATATGAATGAGTAAGGATGAGCTAGTCTCAGGAGGCTTAATTATAAATAATTTCTTTGACTTTTTTGAAATGGGATCAACATTAAATTAATATTTGGTGATAGGTCTATTTGAGTGAGTAAAAAGAGCCTAAAAATGGTGTTCCCTAGCCTACATAAACTGTGTGTCATTAAGGATTGTGTAGCGTGAAAACTGTTAGGAACAAGATTTATATACCAATGTTTGTTTAGTTATCACTTTATTGTAGGTGTTATTTTCGGAGCGTAAGTTCGATCATTTTATTGTATTTAAAATTAATTCGGATTGTGTTGGTTTACATAGGTCACGGAGGAATCAGATGGGGCACTATGAAGGTGGTTTTAAGAATGGGTTTATCGGATTAAGGTGAGTGTTGTGCTTTAATTTTATTTTAACAATCATTAATCTCAATTATAAGGTCTATTTGAGTTAGCAAAAGGAGCCTGAAAAAGTTGTTCCCTAGCCTGCATAAACTGAGTGATTAAGCATTTTGTAGCGTCAAAACAGTTAGAATCCAGTTTCTAAATAAAAGTGTTTGTTAAGTTTATTGTATGTTTTATTTTCGCAGCGTAACTTTGAAATTTTAGTGTGTTTACAATTAATTCGATTTTTTTTGGATTACATAGGTCACCAAGGAATCTGATGGGCATTATGTCGGTGGTTTAAAGAATTGGTTTATCTATTTATCTTTTTATGTATTATCTATCATCTATGATCTATTATCTATTATCTTCTATCTTCTATCTTCTATCTTCTATCTTCTATCTTCTATCTTCTATCTTCTATCTTCTATCTTCTATCTTCTATCTTCTATCGTCTATCTTCTATCTTCTATCTTCTATCTTCTATCTTCTATCTTTCTATCTTCTATCTTCTATCTTCTATTATCTATTACTTTCAATTTTTTTTATCTATATTCTATAATCTATTATCCATTATCCATTATTATCTATTATCTACTATCTATTATCTATTATCTATTATCTATTTAACTATTTAACTATTTATCTATTTATGTATTTATCTATTTCTATTTATCTATTTAACTATTTCACTATATATCTATATATCTGTTTATGTATTATCTATTAATCTATTATTCTATTAATCTATTATCTATTATCTATTATCTATTTATCTATTTACCTATTTATCTATTTATCTATTTATCTATTTATCTAATTATATATTTATCTATGTATCTATGTATCTATATATCTATATCTCTATATATCTATCTATTTATTTATTTATTTATTTATTTATTTATTTATTTATTTATTTATCTGTTTATCTATTTATGTGTTATCTATTAATCTATTATCTATTTGTCTATTTATCTTTTTAACTATTTATCTATTTATCTACTTATAAATTCATCTATTTATCTATATATCTATATATCATTATATCTATATATCTATATATTTATTTATCTATTTATCTATTTATCTATTATCTATTATTTATTATTTGGGCCCAACCAGCTTCCCTAGGAGCCACCACCCCCAGCCTCACCTTCAGAACTGGGTTTATCGGATTAAGGTGTGTGTTAGGCTTTAATTTTTTTCGTAATCATTAAACACAAATTGGTTTTATCTACAAATGCTTGATAAGCTTATTATGGGTTTATTTTTCGCAGCGTAAGTTTGATTTTTTGGGAGTGCGTTTAATCATAGTTGTCACGGCGTCGCCTAGGCGTCGCCTAGGCGGCGACTAGGCGTCCAGGCGGTGAAGGAAGACCGACTGCAACAACCGCCTCGCCAGAAGAATACCAGTCGGCTATGGCGTCGCCAAGTCGTCGCCAAGTCGATGGGTTGGCGATGGAAGGCTCGCCTAGATCGCAAATACTGGGCGGCTGGGCCAAAAGTCCAGAACTCCCGATCCAAGAAGCTAAATCGTTTTTAGGAAGATAATTTAGGCCTTAATTATTTTTAGGAAGCTAAATCGTTTTTAGGAAGATAATTTAATTAAGGCTTCAGTAATTCAGTATTTAACTTACGGACGCCTGAGGAGGTTGTCGCCAAAGCCGTAGCTACTAGCCAAGCCAAGAACATCGCAGGAAACAGAGGAAGTCGCAGACTCGCAGGAAGAAGAGGAAGTCGCAGACTCGCAGGTCGCCCATTCTCAGGTCCTGACTCCCGATCTCTTCTTGTTTTTATCATTTTAAATTTTAATTTCTGTATTTATATTTTTGTTATTTTGACTTGTGACCTTGATTTTTATGTTTTATCAATTAACATGTGATACTTCTATTTTAAAATAAGATTTCTATGATATACTTCAGTTTTTGTTTAATTACTTTTTAAAATAAGAGTTCTACGTATGATATACTTCAGTTTATGTTTAATTAGTTTTTTATCCTATGATATTTGATTTTCTTAAATATTTTTACCTTGTGGCATAAAACACTGGTGTATGATATACTATTTTAAAATAACCTTGAAATACAAATCAAGAAAATACTTTTATGATATACATAAATACATATCATGGTTATATATATTTTTAAAATACACAACTTATCCGATTTTTGTTTTTAAAACATTAGTATTGAAGTATATCTGTAAATGAACTGGTGATATAGGTCTGGTAGCATGATATTAGTTTAATAAAAAACTATTAAACCATTAATTATTACGAAGTATATGTTATAAAATCATAAACTATTAAATATTACTAAAAGTTGTTTTATATATAATTATGTATACAAATATGTAATATACATATTTTAACTTTCTGTTTTGATTATCTTTTTATCAGTTTGTTGAATGCTAATTACATAATTGAACTTTCTGTTTTGATTAATTTTTTATCAATTGGTTGGATGCTGGTTTTTTAGTTCAACTTTCTGTTTTGATTAATTTTTTATCAATTGGTTGGATGCTGGTTTTTTAGTTCAACTTTGTGTTTTGATTAATTTTTTATCATTTCGTTGGATGCTGATTTTTTAGTTCAACTTTCTGTTTTGATTAGTTTTTTATTAGTTGGTTGGATGCTAATTTTTCACTTTTACGTACTATAAATAATAATATTAAACTATTTTTTATAGACAATAGTTATGGCGGACGAGGACCATGAAGGTGAAACCGTGTATGATCCATCTAAAGATCCTGCTAGAAGAGCAAAATCTAATGACCCGGGATGGAAGCACGGATTTTGGCCAGACTTGAACAACAAAGACATAGTCCAATGTTAGCACTGCAATAAGCAAATGCGTTCTGGCATAAAGAGATTAAAACAACATTTAGCTGGCGGGTATGGAGATGTTGCTAAATGTCCTCATACGACAACAGAACTTATGAGGGAGATGCGAGAATATTTAATGAAGAAATCTAGGAGTAAACCGATCAATATTGAAGATGATGGCGATGATGGCGATGAGGATGATGTTGAAGTACCTTTGACTCAAGTAGATACTTCAACTCCTCAACCGAGTTCTGGGACAGCAACCAAGAGAAAAAATGCTGCCTCACAATTCTTTAATGTTCCGCCAAAAATGCCCAAACAAAGCAAGTCAATTGCCTCCATCATTCGCAAAACTCCTGAGGAGGTTGTTGATGAAAGACATATGAAAGGCCCCACCCAAACTACATTAGAACAATGCACAAAAAGCAAGGAGGAGAAAGAGAGGGTCTTCGGGCACATTTCTGATTTTTTTTATGAAAACGGCATTCCTTTTAATGCAGCAAACTCCAGAAGTTATGAGATCATGGTTGAGTCCATTGGGCAGTTTGGACCCGGACTTAAACCTCCTAGCTATCATGAGTTGCGGGTACCACTTCTTGAAAAAGCAAAGAAAAAAACAGAGAAGCTCAGAGAAAAACATGAACTTGCTTGGAAGGAATACGGGTGCACACTCATGTCTGATGGATGGTCAGACCGAAGGAATCGACACTTGATTAATTTCCTTGTCAATAGTCCAGAAGGTACTTTTTTCCTAGACTCGGTTGATGCATCAGCAGAATCTCAAGATGCAACATTGCTAGCAGGTTTGCTTGAGAAAAAAATCGAAGAAGTTGGAAAAGACAAGGTGGTGCAAGTGGTGACAGATAACGGCTCTAACTATAAGGCTGCGGGAAAGCTTCTAGAGCACAAAATACCCACGCTGTATTGGACTCCATGCGCTGCACATTGTTTGGATTTGATGTTGGAGGATATCGGTAAATTAGCTGATTTCAAGCCCCACATTAACAAGGCAAGACGTGTGACTACTTTCATTTATCGGCACACGAGAATCCTCCATTCAATGAGACAAAAGACAGGTGGGAAGGATCTTGTAAGACCTGGAGTTACTAGATTTGCAACCGCGTTTCTCACTTTGCAATCTCTATATAAACACAGAGAAGCATTGAGAAATCAATTTAGCGGTCTGGATTGGGTTAGATCTAAATTGGCTGCCACAGAAGCAGGGATGAAAGTTAGAGAGATTGTGTTTTCCACTAGATTCTGGAGTGCAGTGGAAGATTGCATACGAGCTTCACAGCCGCTTTTAGTTGTCTTGAGGATAGTTGATGCTGATGAGCAACCGGCTATGCCAGAGCTTTCACTAGCCATGGATTGTGCCAAGGAAAAAATCAACGAGGCATTTGAAAATAAGGCTAGGGTTTTGAGAAGCCTAATTGGGATCATTGAGACACGATGGGAAGTCCAGATGGAGGTCAAATTATACGGGGCAGCTTTGTTTTTAAATCCATCTAAATATTTTGATCTCAAACAAACGAATCCTACATCAGCATCAAGGCAACGATCAATGTTTAACGATGTGCTTGAAAAGATGGTCACGGATGAAACATTGCAGGCCAAGATAAGTGATCAAGCGACAGATTATGACAAATTGAGAGGAAGTTTTGCAAAGCAGCTCGCTATTAAGCAACAAAAATCTAAGAGTCCTCGTAAGTGATACTTTTTTATCATATTTAAAAATTAGTTTAAATATATTAAAAATTCATTAATATTTTATTTGTGATTAATTAATAGTTGATTGGTGGGATGCTTTTGGTGGACTCGCTGTTGAGCTGCAATCGTTCACAAAACGCATAGTTGGTCTCTGTTGTACCTCTTCTGGCTGTGAGCGTAATTGGAGCACTTTTGAGTTTGTAAGTAATAGACTTACAATTTTGAATACTAACTATAATTTTTAAATTACACAAGATTTTAACTAATTAAATCAAAACACTTATTAATTTTTTTTTTTAGATTCATACCAAAAAAAGAAACAGGTTGGAGCATAAGAGGTTGAATGACTTGGTTTTTATTCAGTATAATCGGAAGATAGCAACCAGATTTCAGAAGCGGCGTGAAGAAGGAAAAAACTTCAACCCTTTAATATTTGAAGATTTCCAATGGAACAATGAGTGGGTGAGTAATGAAGTTGTTCATCCGGGTGATGATCTTCTATGGAGTCAAGTTGATGAAGCTCTGGGTGCATCAAGCAGTCTTCAAGGTCGTAATCTTCCTAGAACTAGTAGCTCTCGTGGAGAATCAGTTTATTATCGACGCCGTGGTTCAAACTCTTCAAATTCTTCATTAAGGTTGATTGATGAAGACATGAACGATGAAGAAGAAAGTTTTCCAAATGATGATGAAGATGTTGAAGATGACTATGGTCAAACACCACCCACTTCTACTCATGATGATGAAGATCAGGGAAATGAAGGCCGTAGAGATGATTTAGTCCTTGATGATTTTTGAGAACTGAGAACTTAGTAGTTTGATCTTTACGCTGCTTATTTGAGATATACATTTTTAATCTTAATTCCCATTAATAAACCTTGTTTTTAATTATTAATTGTGGATTTCAATTCTAAGTTATATACATTTTAGTTAATAATATAGTATACATAATATATAAATAAATATATAATTATATAATTATATTATAATATTATATATATAATATATAATTTTATATATAATATAAACAATTAGGCGACTAGTCGCCTAATTGTCGCCTAGGCGGTCGCCTTGTCGCCTAGGCGATATGGCGGTTAGCTGGCGCCGCGACTCGACTTACCGCCGTGACAACTATGCGTTTAATATTTTTTTGGGATATGCTTTGGTTTATATAGGTCACAGATTTGTATTATGAGCACAGGGTTAAGAGTTGTGTTATTTATCTAAGGTGAGTGTTGTGCTTTATATTTTTATTTGTATCATAATTGATCAGACTTATTGCTAGCATTAGTTATGTACTTTTCTCAATACAAAATTAGGTGTGTGATTCTCTGTCAGAGGTGGTTTCATTTTAAGGTTATAACTCTAATGACGCAGGATTAATTATAAATAATTGCTTTGACTTTTTTGAAACGGGATCGAACATTGAAGTACTATTTGGTGATAGGCCTATTTGAGTAAGTAAAAAGAGCCTGAATAACTTGTTCCCAAGCCTACATAAACTGGGTGTGATTAAGAACTGTGTAGTGTCAAAATAGTTAGAAACCAATTTTCTATACAAATGTTAACCAAGTCTATTGTATGTTTTATTTTCACAGTGTAAGTTTTATTATTTTAGTTTGTTTGAAATTAATTCCGATTGTGTTATGGTTTACATAGGTCACCAAATTGGGTGTCCTTTTTTCAGTTTTCAATGTTCGATCAAGATAATCAATTATGTTTTCGATTGTTAAACGGGGTAATCAATAAGGTTTAAGCGCCCAATATAAATAAGGACGGGCTAATGTCGGGTGATCTTGAATCCATTTTATCTAAAAATGTTTGTTATTGGTTTATTTTTCGCAGTGCAAAGTTTGATTATTTGGATTATTTGGGAGTGTGTTTAATATTATTTTGTTTTATGCTTTGGTTTACGCAGGTTTCGTATGCTTATAATGAGCACAGGGCAGATGGATTTCTGTGTTGTCTTATTGGTCTAAGGTGAGGGTTGTACTTTACGTTTTTATTTGTATCATAAATGATCAGATTGATTGTTAGCATTAGTTATGTATTAGAGCCTTAGAGGTGGTTTGATGATAATGTTATAACTATAATGAGGGAGGGTCAAATAAAACGGGATCGACCATTAAATTGATATTTGGTTATACGTTTATTTGAGTTAGTAAAATTATCCTGAAAAGGTCGTCCCCAAGTCAACATTTTATTTATACAATAATCACAAATTTATGTGGGTTATGTATTTCGTGTAGCATGAAATTCGGTGGCCTTTGATTTTTGAACTTGGTAAACAATTAAGTTTTAGCGCCCAATATGAATGGGTAAGGATGAGCTAGTCTCAGGAGGCTTGATTATAAATAATTTCTTTGGACTTTTTTGAAATGGGATCAACATTAAATAAATATTTGGTGATAGGTCTATTTGAGTGAGTAAAAAGAGCCTAAAAATGTTGTTCCCTAGCCTCCATAAACTGTGTGTCATTAAGGATTGTGTAGCGTGAAAATTGTTAGAAACAAGATTTATATACCAATGTTTGTTTAGTTTATCACTTTATTGTATGTGTTATTTTCGCAGCGTAAGTTTGATCATTTTATTGTATTTAAAATTAATTCGGATTGTGTTGGTTTACATAGGTCACGGAGGAATCAGATGGGGCACTATGAAGGTGGTTTTAAGAATGGGTTTATCGGATTAAGGTGAGTGTTGTGCTTTAATTTTATTTTAACAATCATTAATCTCAATTATAAGGTCTATTCCGGTACTCAACTGCCTTGTTTGTGACCACAACCCTGACGGACGATGAAACGAATGCAGCCCCGGCAGCAGCAAGCGGTGCACTACCGGTAGCAATCCACAACCTGGCAACCTGGCCCCTGCTCCTCCGCAGTCTTGCAACCCCCAACGACCTCCTCTCCTGTCCCCGCACCACACCCCAGCCCCGCCTCCTGCCCCACCAGTCCACCCTACCCCATCCCATGCGCCACCAGCCCACCCTAGCCACTCTCATTCACACTAGACTCCGCTCGCTCAGCCTACCCCGGACCCCAGCCTCACAGATCCCAGCCACCATCCCACAGCCTCACCCTCAGAACCCAGATCTGGGCCCTCAACCCCCAGCTCATTCCAGTTGCCCCCCAGCCCACAGCTTCCAACCCTAAGTTCCAACCGCACCCCGCCCGTGGCCGCGAGTTCGCCGCTGACGATCTACTCAACGTCGCCGTTGCTACCTCGCCTCAGTCTCTCGCAGCACCGTCGCTCTTCGTTGCTCGCCTCGTCGTCTTCAGATCTGAAGATTTCCGACCGTCCATCAACACCAAGAGACCGACATGGGGAGAAAGAAGAAATAAAGGAATGGTAAGGTTATAACTATACTAAGGGAGGATCAATTATAACTAATTGTTTTGACTTTTTTAAATGGGGATCAAACATTAGATTAATATTTGGTGATAGGTCTATTTGTTATTTTTCGCAGCGCAAGTTTGATTCTTTGGGAGTGTGTTTAATATTATTTTGGGTTGTGCTTTGGTTTACGCAGGTTATAGTGGGAACATGGCAGATGGATTTATGAGTTGTCTTATTGGTCTAAGGTGAGTGTTGTACTTTACGATTTCAATTGCATCATAAATGACCACATTGATTGTTAGCATTAGTTATGTATTTTTCTCATCCAAAAATTAGGTGTGCTATTTTCAGTTAGGTGGTTTGATGATAAGGTTTTAACTATAATGAGGGAGGCTCAACTATAAAAAATTGCTTCGACTTCTTTAAAACGGGATCAAACATTAAATTAATATTTGGTGATACGTTTAGTTGAGTTAGTAAAAATATCCTGAAAAGGTCGTCCCCAAGTCAACATTTTTTTATATAATCAGTAATCACAAATTTGTGTGGGTTATGTATTTTGTGTGGCATGAAATTCGGTGGCCTTTGATTTTTGAACTTGGTAATCAATTAAGTTTAAGCGCCCAATATGAATGAGCAAGGATGGGCTAGTCTTGGGAGTTGGGAGGGTTAATTATAAATAATTTCTTTGACTTTTTTGAAATGGGATCAAACATTAAATTAATATTTGGTGGTAGGTCGACTTGAGTGAGTAAAAAGAGCCTAAAAATGTTGTTCCTAAGCCTACATAAACTGTGTGTCATTAAGGATTGTGTAGCGTCAAAACTGTTAGAAACAAGATTTATGTACCAATGTTTGTTTAGTTTATTGTATGTGTTATTTTCGCAGCATAAGTTTTATTATTTTATTGTATTTAAAAATAATTCGGATTGTGTTGGTTTACATAGGTCACGGAGGAATCAGATGGGGCACTATGAAGGTGGTTTTAAGAATGGGTTTATCGGAGTAAGGTGAGTGTTGTGCTTTAATTTTATTTTTAACAATCATTAATCTCAATTATATGGTCTATTTGAGTTAGTAAAAGGAGCCTTAAAAAGTTGTAGCGTCAATACAGTTTTCATTCTTCAAACAAGATAATCCATTAAGCAACACAAACTTTAGTGATTATGAATGTGCTAGTGATCGAAGAGTTTGACACCAGTTTTTATTGGAATATGTTTGTTAAGTTCATTGTGTGGGATATTTTGGCAGCGTAAGTTTGATGTTTTAGGCATGTGTTTCAAATTATTTAGGTTGTGCTTTGTTTGTATAGGTCTTGAACGCGAATGATGAGCGATGTGAAGGTCTATTTAAGAGTGGACTTGTCGGATTTAGGTGTGTGTTGTGGTTTTAGTTTTTATTTTATTATAATTGATAACAGACTTTGTTGTTAATTATGTGTATCTCTCATTCAAAAATTAGGTGTGGTTTTGTGGGTTTAAGGTGAATAATTTTCTGTAACTTGTGATTATGTTTTGACCGATGATCTAGATTCATTTAGGTTATTCTACATACCAGAAAAAAGGAATCCTTAAGTTATGTTTATTATCAATTATGTAATAAATTATTAATTTCCAAATGGGAGTGTGCGTATGATGAGCAATGGGAAGCTAGATGTAGGAGTAGGCTTATGAGATTGAGGTGTGTAATGTGCTTTTCATTTTCATTTCTATGACATTTCATAATAACCTGTAATTTATTGTTTATAACTAAAATAAGGCAGACTCATTTACAACCAGTTTCAGAGTTTCTTCCTTCAAACTCGTTTTTTATCATAAGGTTAATAATAATTGCATAAGAACTTATAATTGTTTTTTTTAGTTGCAGTGCGCAAGGTAGTCAAATTCGCGAGGCGCACTTAAGGCGCTAGAGTACTTCTATCGCCTGAGGCGCAAGGCGCAAAAAAGCGCTCGCCTTACTCGGGTGAAGCGCACTATTTAGAAAATATTATGTATACTATTCTAGAGTGATCCAATATGACATATTCAACACCATATATTGAACTAAATGCATCAAAAAGTCATGTTTCTAAAAAATAAAGTCATGATTCACCAAAATAATGTCATGATTCACAAAAACAAAACACTGAGTTGGGTCTGTCTTTGTTAATTTTTCAATTTTAGCACTAGGAATAGCATAAATCATGTAGTGTGTGAAACTATTGACTGAGTTATATTATATGAAGTTTTTATACAGTTAAAATATGAAATGATACTAGGAAGATATACAGTTATAGACTGTATAATAAGATGAAATAATATGTTGTTCACATGAAAACTGGTAGGTCAGGTACACATATTATGTTGAGTTGTATAGCATATATTAGAAGCAAAAAGAACCTTAAAGTAGGCACAAATGACTGGAACTAATAAAAGTAAAGAAAGAAGATAGACTGAAAGAACAAAATGAAAGGATCACAAAGAAGATGACAAAATAAATGAAAACTACAAGCTCAAAAAGAAGAAAGAGCATGTGAAGTTTATGATGAAGAAGACACCTTATGGATTTTCTGGCTTCTGTGGGTTCACTGAATGTTTTTCAGCGCTAAGCATGTTGCGCAAGACTTTTCCCACGACTATG